ACTCCCATGTAGTCGACGGCAGTTCGAGTCCCGGATCCAGTGGCTTAAACTCATGCCGGGCGTGTGTGCATGTGTGCCCAAGATCCCGAGAGGAGAATGGAGGAGAAGGGATTGCAGTGTGACCATCCCCCCTGGGGGGTGATTTCTCGCTTTCTATCTCTCTGTGTCTGTCTGGCGAGCACGTGCCCTATAGCAAAAAAAACTCTCCAAAATATAAAAATAAATAAATAAATAAAAAGATTATATGTCACAAGTTTGAATAATGAGTGCCATCATTGAGTTGGGTAGTATTTATTTCTCATTAGGCAGCAAATATATGTGAATGGACACACCAGAGTGGGCATGAAGCATGAAGATCTTTGTATCACACATTAACACCCATCAAGGATAACCCACCATGAAAAAGACAAGAATCAAATAGACAAAATGACTCAGTTAGTTTGTGTCGGTCAGTCATTGCCTTCGCAGTGCTGGCTTGATGGGCACATGAACAGACGCACGGGGAAAGATGGAGGCTGTGCACTAACCCAGTTGCATGGGTGACCACTGGCAAACGTGATCTAACTAGAGTTGTTGCCAAATGCCAACATATCAGCAACAGCAACCAGTGCTGAACCACCACGGTCACTCATCCCCCAGAAACCAAGCAGCTACGTGGTGAGAAGTTGAGTTCAATGGGTCCTTTCAGTCCTTTTTTTTTTTTTTTTTTTCTGACAGTAACAGGATCATATTCTGGTTATACGTTAACTCTCTCTGTCTACAGAGCTTCTGCCAGCACTACTGTTGAAGAGCGTATGAAATGTTTGAGCCACAACCATGGATTCTTACAAAATGATTTTTACAAAATAATGATCTGACCAGGGAATCCACTTTACAGAGAAGGAGATGTGAGAGAGGGCCCAGGCCTGTGGGATTCCTCTGGTTTTATCACATACCACAGCAACCAGAAGCCGCTGGCTTATTTGAGAACTAGAATGGTTTGCTGAAAACATGCAAAGCACCAGCTCGAAGGCAGTACTGTGTAAGAACATAGCGTCATCCTCCAGAACGCAGTGTCACCAGTAGAAAGAATTTATGACACTGAGAACCAAAGGTTTGAAGCAGGATGATCCTGTTTACCATCACTCCAATAACCCACCTGGGTAGTTTGTACTGCCCACTCCCCCTACATTAGGCTCTGCAGGGTTAGAGATTCTGATCCCCAAAGGGGGGATATTTCTTTTAGGAAGACTGTGAGTCCGGGCACCAGCAGGTGATGTGGTAGTTGAAGTGCTGGACTCCCATATGGCCGATCACAGTTCAAGTCCCAGACCTGGCAGTTTGCTTTCTCACTTTCTCTCTCTCTCTCTCTCATTAAATAAAATAATAAGCTTATTTGAGAACTAGAATGGTTTGCTGAAAACATGCAAAGCACCAGCTCGAAGGCAGTACTGTGTAAGAACATAGCGTCATCCTCCAGAACGCAGTGTCACCAGTAGAAAGAATTTATGACACTGAGAACCAAAGGTTTGAAGCAGGATGATCCTGTTTACCATCACTCCAATAACCCACCTGGGTAGTTTGTACTGCCCACTCCCCCTACATTAGGCTCTGCAGGGTTAGAGATTCTGATCCCCAAAGGGGGGATATTTCTTTTAGGAAGACTGTGAGTCCGGGCACCAGCAGGTGATGTGGTAGTTGAAGTGCTGGACTCCCATATGGCCGATCACAGTTCAAGTCCCAGACCTGGCAGTTTGCTTTCTCACTTTCTCTCTCTCTCTCTCTCATTAAATAAAATAATAATAATAAATAGAATTAAATAATTCTTTAAAAAGTAAAACTGTAAATCCCATTGAACCATAAGCAGGCAGTCCCTGAGCATATCAAGCTCTATGCATTGAGGGGAACAGAAGAAAGAAGGAAGTCACTCTCTAGGCAAAGATAATTAGCCCAGGTCAGGAGGAGGCAGGGCTGCTAGTGCACAGCAGGGGCATGGAGGATGTGATGTGGAACTCAGGTGATCTAACTGGGCATCTCTTGTTACACCCTTGCCAAATTGTGATGAAAGTGGGAAAATATCCCTAGCTAAGAAGGACATAGAGACCAGGGATTCATTCCATCTAAGAATGAGAATCTAGGTCATGCCACTAGGTAAGCCATCAAAACCAAGAGATGCCATCTGAGGACCAGGGAATTCTAGAATGGGTCAGTGGAGAAGAGATAAACTGAGTATCAGTTGCAGCCCCAAGACCAGCCTCAGCAATAGGGTGTTGTAGTTTGTTCTACCAGCTTCCTTTCTCCTTAGAAGGGACACACGTGAAATAAGGATTCTTTTTTTTTTTTTTTTAAGACAGCAATGCCATTTTCTTTTATTTAATTTTATTTACTTATTGTTATTTTTCAATTTGACCAGAGACAGAGAGAGAGAGAGAAGGAGAATGAGAAAGCAAGCTTCCATGTCCAGGACTCAAACCTCAGTTATGTTGGGAGTCCAGTGCCTTAACCACCATGCCATCTGCTGGCCCTGAAGTAGGGATTCTAAGTAGCACCAGAGTTAGTATATGCTGAACATGGAGATGAGCCTGGACCCCGCTCTGAGGAAGGTTTTGTTTTCTCAGCTGCGGAGAGTGCACTTGACAGGTAGCCTTCAACTGTTAATTCTTGGAGGAATTACCTCAATGGCACAGATCCACCCCTATCCAAGGCCACGTCCTTCTGGCGGTAGCCCATATCCAGTGAGTGAGAGAGGTGAGACTACAAAGACCTTGACTACATTGGCCCCATGTGGAACAGCTGTGAGGGCCGCTGCAGCTTCAGAGCCCCCCCCCTCCCCCAGGGAATTAGCTGAACTGCTAGGCCTGTAAGAAGCAGTTCAGCTAATAAGTAAAGCTCTGTCTCAGTTTGCTTCTCAGAGTACCCAGACCCCAAGTGTTGCTTACAGAGAATTTGGTTTTCATGAATTTCCCTCAATCTGACAATTCCTTTTGTCAGTGGCATCCACATGGCGTCTGTTTATCGCCTGAGCAGAGCTGGACTTCACCTTTCTTGCCACTTCAGCCCTGAGTTTATTTCTTCCATTATAGCCCTCAGCACTTCTCCGAGCTGTGGTTTATGTTAATGTGTCAGTCTGCCTCTCGTTTGCCAAACCCGGGACCCTTTCCTGCCTACTCTTTGTGTTCCCAGCCTTTAGGGCATAATCAGTGCTCAAATGATGTTGTCCAGCAATGACTGATGGGAGAGACTTAGCTTTAAACAAAGCTTTGTGTTTGTTTTCTTGAAGTTCTAAGCCTTTTATGGAAAAAAAATAATAAAGCTCTTTATTAGATTATTTGCTATATTTGGCTCTGTGTCAAAGAAAGCCATGCTGATTATATCAGAATTTATTTTCCCTTTATGTTTGAGTATGAACCAAGTGGTCTGAGGCTACCAGCAGTAGAGTAGCAATAGATTTTCCATGCAGCGGTAAAGGATGAGTGAGCCCTGTCAGCTTCTGGCTCAAATTCTGGAAGTCAATGCCTTCCTAAAGACACAGCACTTGTCATTTACTGAGAATATACTATGTACTGGGCACAAGGGTAGGCCCCTGGGTGAGCCAGAAAAGCTACCCTACCCTAGGAAGGCTAACTCATGAGCAACAGGAGTGAGTAAATGAAACTTGGATGGAAGTAGGCCATGTGCTACCTGCTCCGACAGCACCGGTACATAGAAATGAAATAATAAAAACTGATAATAACTAGAGTTTTACTGCATGCAAATGCACACACACACACACACACACACACACACACACACCCCTTTTATTCTCTAGTCAAGTAGCTAAGGAATCACAATTGTCTTCTAGCATAACTGTCTTCTAGCAGAAAGTTAAATGAAGATCAGGTTGTTTACTAGGGAGGGAAACCTGGGCTCCACCTCGGCGGTGTGGTTGGCAACAGACAAAACCACAGTGCCCGAAGCCTCATGGTCAGCCGTGGAATCAGATCCCCAAGTCAGCCTGAAAGCATGCTGTGTGTGCACGGGTGTGTGCATGTGTATCATACCCAGGGGCCTACCAAGCTGGAGGATTGGAACAGCAGGTAGCGTAGTGGTTAAGGCACCGGACTCCCACATGATTTGAGTCCCAAATCCCAGCAGCTTGACATTCATTCTGGGCCCATGTGCATGCACGTTCCAAAATGCCCAGGGGAGAATGGAGGAGAAGAGATTGTGGCATGTTCATTCCCCTGGGGGTTGATTTCTCACTTTCTGTCTCTCTCTCTCTATTTTGCCCTATAGCAAAAATCTCTCAAAAACAAAAAGAAAAAAAAAAGCTGGAGGGCTGGGGAAAGGTGATTATGACATGACAAGGCGGGGTTAAGGATACTTTTCTCTGTTTCTCTCTCATATACTCTATCATGAAGAAAAGAAATCCTTTTTTTTTTTTTTTTTTTTTTACAAACTCATTTAGTTCTTAGGAGAGAATGAAGAGTTTGTGCAGCAGAAGCTCTAGAAAGATCACAGCAGAGATAAACTCAGGGATCAAAAGAGGAAACGGAAGGCTCATGTGTTCTTTCTCTTTTCTCTCCACGTTGAGGGGAGTGTGGATTCAGGGGTCAGGCAGAGGAAAGATTTTTCATAGTTTTCTCTTTTAAAGTGAGAAACCACCAAAATAGCATTTTCCACCAGTGTTCGTTTTCCCACAGACATGTAAAAGAATGACTTTCATCATCATTTTCAGGATGTGGTAGGCGGAAAGCGTGTTTTAATTAAATACATATCATACCAGTGATGCTCGCAAGGTTGAAAGTTATTCCTAATGTTGGCAACTACAAAAATTAGTTTGTACATAACAAGACAATGAGGAAAAAGCAATCCCTTTAAACAAAACTCTAAAATAAAAAATGTTTACAGTGGTTTGTATCAACAGCATGCATTTTATGACAGTAACATGTACAGATTCAGAGCAACCCAGGGCTCTCTTTATATCCTAAAGAAATTGAGTGTTTACATTATTCATGGGTCATACGGAATTTTTAAAAATTAACTGTAGACTTGCCCCTGAGACAGGATAAACTGTCCTGGGATGCACAGCTTTAATAGCATCATTAAAGCTGTTTGCACAAGGAATTGAAAACAAAACTGAACACTTTTCCTTGAGAGTGGAGTTTTCATTCGCTGGTATAACCAGCAAATGGCATTCATTAAATCAAAAATGGAAGCAGGGGCCCCCACACAGATCTGAGCAAACTGACCAGTATACATTACAGTTTCAAAAAGGAAGATTGTATATGTACTATATGTGACAAGTCCCAACTAGACAGTGTCGAAGTGACATCTATTTTTTGCTTTCTTTGTGATACCCCTTGGCAGGGTCACAGGTCTTAGGCATTCAGTTTCTTTTTCTCTATGGGCTTTAAAATCTGAAAAGAACACATTAGTTTTTCATCCACACTCATCATGGCCCCTGCATTGTCAAATTCTCCACAGTAATTGGGTGCAGAAAACAGAGTGACCAATTGCCTCTTTGCAAAAAATTCATATCCATCTTCAACCACCTGATGGGCTCTACATATAAGATCCAAATCATGCTTACGGAGGAACTTTGCAACCACATCTGCACCAAACGTGAAGGACACTCCTCTGTCATTTTCACCCCAGCCTAAGACATCCTTATCAGGGTCAGACCACAAAAGATCACAAAGAAGACCTTGATCTGGTACATCAGTTGGTCGCGAAATTCGCTGGATCTGCTCCAAAGATTGAAGATCTGGTGATAAACCTCCATGACAGCAGAATATTTTCTCATCGATGATGGCTGTTATTGGCAAACAGTTAAAACAGTCTGTGAACGTTTTCCACAGTTTGATGCTATATCTTCTTTTACATTCATCGTAAAACCCATAAATTCTGTTGATGCTGGCACACTCATGATTCCCTCGGAGAAGAAAGAAATTCTCCGGGTATTTGATTTTGTAGGCCAGTAAGAGGCAGATGGTTTCCAATGACTGCTTCCCCCGGTCCACATAGTCCCCAAGGAACAGGTAGTTGCTTTCTGGCGGGAAACCACCATATTCAAAAAGTCGAAGCAAGTCATAGTATTGCCCATGAATGTCACCACATATTTTGAGCGGCGCTTCAAGTTCTAGTAGGATAGGCTGACTGAGAAATATCTCTCGAGACTTTAAGCACAGGCCTCTGATTTCATTCTCCTGGAGCTGGACATTCTTACCAGGCTTGGACCCTCTCACTTCCAGCAGTCGTTGGATGATGCCGTTGATGTTGAGCTTGTCTATATCCGCCATCACCCTGCCACCGCCAACCGTCCTGCAGCCGCTCTGCCGCCAGCTCGCGCTCGGGACTCACCGCTTTTCCCACGCCACGAGCTGGAGGCGGTGGTGCAGGCGGTGGGGGTGGCGCTGGCGGGGGTGGCGGCGACGGTGGCGGGTCCCCCCTACCCAAGCCGCCCCGCTCCCTGCTTTCTCCTTTTCTCCCCCTTGAAGCCACCAGCCCACCAGTGTTTAAATGTATAGTGTAGGAGGGATTAAAAAGCTTTTTTTTTTTTTTAATTCTTTTTTTTTCTTTTGGAGAGGTTTTCGCAATAGGGCGCGTGCGCTCTCCAGACAGACAGACAGATAGCGAGAAATCACCCCCCAGGGGGGATGGCCACGCCACAATCCCTTCTCCTCCATTCTCCTCTCGGGTACGCACGCACACCCGGCGTGAGTTTTAAACCACCGGGTCCGGGACACGAACCGCGGTCGACTACGTGGGAGTCCAGCAACATAGCCATTACGCTAACTGCTGGTTCCCGGGATTAAAAAGTTTTTTACCAGGATACCAATGAAATACTTATGCATGGGAAAAGAACAAAATGTCAGAAAGCTATTGGATCTTCCGGAAGACTAGCATGAGAACTGATACCAGAGAGATTATAAATTTTATACTACCTTAATGTGCTGCCCTTTGTCCACAAGAAGAACACGACAGCAATCCCATCAGTAGGACTTGCTCTGTAAAGAATAGTGAATTTGCCCTGTGCCCATTCTCCTTCACGCCTCAGTTAGGTGTGAGCTCGGTGAACAGGCGAGGGATTAGTAGGTTCTACAACTAGACTTCCACAGACCTCGCAGTCAGGGAGGACCCTGTCTGGACAGGTGTCATGTTCAGAGGAATATGACAAAGATAAATAGAGGTAAGAGAAAAGGTTTGGCTGTCATCCAGATGCCTAGTGCACCACTCCAGGGAAGGCGCTGTGGTATTAAGCTAAGTTGGTGCTAAATCCCACAAGTGAAGCTGCAAGCTTAAATCCTGTAGCTGGGCTCGAGTATACGGGAGCCTCAGACCTAAGACCTATGCTGAAAGCATGCCCTCTCCTCTGGGCCCAGGAATGAGTCACGGTTTCACCACTCCAATGATGAGAGATAAACCCAAGGAAAATTGGTCAATTAAAAGAACATAGCTAGCAATATGGACGGATCTCACAGACACAATGATGAACAAAAGAACAGACGCAAAAAGAACATACTGTACACTTCCACTCATGTCGAGTTCAAAATGGAAAAACTGACTTGTGATAAAAGTCAGATAGTGTTGATCTCTGGAGCCAAGCTACTGGGGGGTGTCAGACACTGCCTGGGAAGGATCTCAAGAGATCTACCTGAGGTGTGGGGAGTGTTCTAGATCACCGTCTGGGCAGGGAGTTTCTGGATGTATCCCATATGTAAAATGTAATTAAACTGTACACCTAACATTTCTATATTTTATGTATACTACACCTCAGAAAGAAGCATGTAGTATAAATATTATACTACATTAATGGGTTGAACTTCATTTCCTGAAATGTAAGAGTAAAGTGGGCAAATCTGAAATCCTAAAAGAAAACATTATCTATAGGAATATAATTAGGGACTTATAGACACTGAAGAGACTTGGCCACCAAAAGCAAGACCAGACCACCTTCTAGCTTTTCTTGTCTGGAATGTGCAAGGACAGTGAGGGCCAGAAACAGCGATGATTTTGCTGTACACCATGGAGCTAATAGCTCAGGGTCTGTGATTCTTCCAGTCTAAGATCAGCAGCAGCTCTGGAATCTGCAGTGGGATTAAACTGTAGGTAAGGAGTCTTGTGTTGCCCTGGTTTTATGAAACGAGCCACAGCAATAATTAGAAATATCATCTGAGGTCATGGAAAGCACCTCTCATCAAGGGATTACCCTGAAACTGTGCTCATTCACATCCCATTTTGATCAAGTGTCCTGCGAAGAGGTTAAAGACACTCAAAACAAAAATGATATTGAACTTCTTCAGGATATGAGACCTGTGTATTACCTGCATGGTTTCTCACTTTGAGATAAATATAAGATGTTCGCTATGCAGTACACATAATTGAATAGCAGAGCAGAAGTTCTAATTGCAATTGGTAGATCCAGGAATATAAGCATGGCTTGTCTCAGATCAGACATAGATGCTGTTGTAGTCAGGACGGAGTGGCTCTCAATGCAGTCATCTAAGGATAGCATGAACCGTTTCAGCATGCAAAGACAACAATGCCGTCAGAAACAACAGCTGCATCTGAGAACACACTGTAGCCGTCAGAGACCAGCACCAAACTGGGCAACCAAATAGAAATCCAGTAATTAAGTTTAGAGATTGTTCCAAGCTAGTTACTGATCCTATTCTCCAATGCCGTATATTAGAAGCATATTTTTCCCCCAATCACAACAAGAGTTCATGTTTATCCTGATAAAAATGCTACTTCCAAGGATAGGAACTGCTGCTGGATTCACCTTCCTGAAACACCACTTCCAGGATGCTCCTTTGTTGGAAAGCATTCATGGTTCCTCTTCCCAACATAGCAAATGCACATAATTTTAATCCGCTTTCAAGACATTTTATTATCTGGCCTCATTCTGTGTAGCAAAAAATTCTTCCTGACTTGCGCCAGCAGGTGGTATGGTGGTTGAGGTGTTAGACTCCCACAGGGTAGACCATGGTTTGCGTCTCAGACACGGTGGCTTAAATATCATGCTGGTCGTGTGTGCGTGTGTGCCCCAAATCCCAGGAGGAGAAGGGATTGTGGCATGGCTATTCCCTCTGGGGAGTGGTTTCTCATTTTTCTTCTCATTGTCTCTCTCTGGCAAGCAAATGTATCCAGTGGCATAAACCTTAAAAAAAAAAAATCCTCCCTACTTGCATGCATCTATCCACTTGAGACAGTCTAGAAGCTTTTGTAGGTGCTATTCCCTTCACCTGGACCACCCTCTCAGATTCCTCCTCATCTGTTCCAATCCTTGAACAAGCATTAGAACCCAGTTACAGATTTTTCTTCTGCAGAGAGGCAACTGTTCCTGATCCAGTCAACCTCTAGTGAGCCTAGCCAAAGTCCCTCAACACTGAGCCTTCCCGGACAAGTTAGCCCTTCATTTTACAGGAGCTCTCGTGTGTGTGTGTGTGTGTGTGTGTGTGTGTGTGTGTGTTTTAATTATTTTTTTGTTTTAAACATTTATTTGCTCTCTTCCATGAGCATTAGAGAAAGAGAGAGAGAGGCAATTACTACACTCCCAACATGGTCTTGACACCATGATCGACCTCCAGACCTAGCCAGCCCCCAATTACATGCACATGTGGCATACCGAGCCAGATCTCTGGAGGTGAACCTCCAGCTTCCCTGTGTGAGTCAGCCTTGCAGAGCATCATGTTTAACTGTTGCACTAAGTCCAGTCCCTGCCTATTGTTCTTATCTGAGGTAATTCCATGTTTTCTGATACATTTGAGGTTCCGTTATCTCTCCATCCTCATTGACATCCTCATTCCTTCCCAAGAATCTCTATTGTGAATTTTATGAGAGTTCCTCCAGAATGTATACCCAGGAATGGAATGTAAGTTGTAAACTATATGCATCTGCAACTTCATCAAGTAACTCAAAACTGTTTTAGAAAGTGCTCATATAAATTTGTATTCCCACCAGCAGTGGGTGTGTTGTGAGGAGAAATCCCCTAAGTAGACTCTGAGATGGATGTTAGCATGCAGAATATTTATTAGGGAGTACCTTGGGATCAACAGCTGTGGAGGAGGAGGGAATAGAGCAGGACCAGATAGAGGGAGAAATTGAACTGTGATGCAATGTGATGGAAAGCTCAGCTCACCCCACAGTGAGCTCTGAAGTTGACACAGCTCTTCAGAGTGGTCCCTACTGGGGGGGTGAGGAAGAGCTCAGCCATTATAACCTTATGTGACCAGTCATTGGAAGCAGGCTGTTACCAGAAAGGGTGTATAACCTGAAGCAAGACAATTCTCTTCAGCTGATGTAGGACGCTGCTGTAAAGTTTCCATAATGTGTAGCTTTGTTCCGTGCTCTTTATTCTGTTCCACTGTCTATCCTTCTACCAACATGACATTGTCATAATCATATATCTGCACTGTAGCTATAGATACACTTTATGAGAATTAGTATTTTTTAAATATTGAGTCTTCTCATCTAAGAAGATGGATTAACGCTCCAGATATCAAAGTCTTCTTTAATGTCATCCAATAAAGCGTATAATGAGCTCCGTACAAATCTTGCATATGTTTTGTTAGATTGATTCCCAAGTGATTATACTTAGTGTTGTTATTGGAAATGATGTTTTCCAACAGCTTGTACCTTGAGTTAAGTACATACAATACATTTTTATTTATTTGCTTTTTTTAATGACTGACAGAAATGCTTTATTTGATCTGCAAGGCATTTTATTTATTTGTTTTTAGAGAGATTTTTGCTATAGGGTGAGACAGAGACAGAGAGACAGAAAGTGAGAAATAGTCCCTCAGCGGGGTGGCCTCATCACAATCCCTTTTTCTCTGTTCTCCTCCTGGGATCTTAGGTACGCATGCACATGCACATGGTGTGAATTTCAAGCCACTGGGTCTGTGACTCTAACTGTGGTCGACTACGCAGAAGTCCAGAGATGTAACCAATGTTACATTCTAGGTGTAATTTATTGCTAATTTAAAACTTTTTCCAGTGTCCTCTAAGACAACTTGCATATATAATTGACATCGACATCTTTTGAAAATCTCTGCGAAACTGAAAAAAAATTTAAAACCTAAAAACTGAATAATCAGAGGAGCAAAAATGAAGATTTCATCAAAATATTGCTGAATTACTTACGTTCACATAAGTTTAAATATAATATTTAAGGTATGTTTATGTCTTTTTTTATGCCAGAGGGTACAAAGGCTTGGCAGAGAGAGATTGAGTACCTCCCAATGGGATGTCATCACGACACGGAGCTATTTCCTCCATTTCTCCTTCCCATCAAGATGTTGGGCATGTAAGCACACGTGCTTGGAGCTTCTCAA